TAATTAATATAACTTATGCATGAATAAGACATAAAAGTTATTTTTTTATTACAAAGGTGTTCAATTTAAGTGTTTCTATCCGTTGTCTGTTATTCCATTTTTTTGTATTCTTTATTTCCATCAAATGTTTTATTTCTATTATATTTTTGCATATCATGTGACATTTGAAATACCTTACAATGTACACGATCAGCTTTCTTTTTTTTCATATCCAACTAACGCTTCTAACTATAGCTGTTCATTTTCTTAAACGTTCACTATATGAATTCAAATAAAATGAAACAAATTTCTTACTGTTATATATTTTGATAGTTAAATAATTATATAAAGATTCTGGTTCTAAATAAAATCGAAGAAAGAATAAATGTTAATAAATATACTCATTTAATTTTATTCTTCCTATTAACAATGATATGATATAATCTAATATATGATTTGCTTCTTCACAATCTATCAAAAACATATTTGCGCGCGATTTTTACAATCTTAAGCGAAGAGAATATAGAGAAAACAAAGATTAATTAAAAATGATTGATTTATCTCTAAATGTATCAACTAGTTTTACAAATATTTATTTATATTTCTTAATCTAATAAATATTTATAAACTCCAGATAGTTAATATGAAACCACAAAATAATATTCCATTACGTTCAGCTAAAAAAGCAGTTCGTCGTTTAAGAAATGCTAATACTCGTGCTACTCGTAATGATCTTTTATCAGCGATACATCTTAATGATTTTAATGATGTTGAGTAAGTAATTCAGCGTTAATTTTTTTTTATCAATAGTAATTAAAAATTTAAGAATGACAAGTAATCTAAGTGATAAATCCGACGTTCAAACAAATGAAATTGATGACGTGTTAATGCAAGAGCAAAACGAAAAACAATCGAGTGATGATTCAGTTTCATTCGATCATATTATGAACGATGTGTCCAGTGTTGATTCTTGTTCAAGCAATGTTGATGATGAAGTTTTACAGAATATACCACACAATTTTATTGATAATAATGTTAAATCTTCTGAACATGACTTAAAAGACATGTCTACTGCTCTTGCATTGTTTCGACACAAACATAGCTTGTCCAAGTCTTGCATAAATGATTTGTGTGATTTGCTCAGATCTCTTGGCATTAAAAACGTGCCATCCGACTTCCGTTCTATCGAACGGAATATAATGCACAATAAAGAAAATATCTTACAGAGTAAACAATATACTATTTGTGCTGAGTGTGGGAACAAGGGAGCAAATACATCAAAATGTGAAAATGTAAATTGTAAGTCGAGTACTGGCTTTGCATCAATCCCAACAACACTATGTACATTCAAAATTTTGCCACAAATAATAGCGATATTAGATAGACATAGTTTGATGAATCAGCCAGCTACTGATCATTCAAAAATATCTGATTTTAAAGATGGTAAAGTTTGGCGAGCCATTATACGCCAAGAACGAACTACTGATCCAATGAAACAAATAGCAACCCTGCTACTAAACAGCGATGGGGTTGTGTTAAAAAAATTTAGTCGTTCAATATGGATCTGCTCAATGATAATAAACGAGTTGCCTCGAAAAATTCGATTCAACCATAACAATATAATTATTTGCTGTATTTCAATGGGAGGAACAAAACCCAAAAAAACACAATTTCAGGATTTCATTTCGGATTGGGTGTATGAATTACGTCTGATGGAATTAGGTTTTCACATATCCCCTCCAAATCTAAATCATGGTTTCATCAAAGTACATGCTTATCTCATCGCTGCAGCAGTTGACAAACCAGCAGCAGCACTTTTAATGAACTTGAAAGATCATTCTGGTTTCTACAGTTGTGTCCAGTGCAATATTCGAGGTGAACTTTATATCTCTTGTCACTCAGAATTAGGAGAGTATTTTTTGGGTGTAGGTGTAGAAGGAGGTTTGAGTGGAGGTAGAGATTTGGGTGGAGGTGGAGGTTTGGGTGGAGGTGGAGGTTTGGGTGGAG